TATATGTCCAGAAGTGGGATTGCTAGAGCATGTGGTAGCTCTATTTTTAGTTCTTTAAGGAACCTCCATACTGTTTTCCATAGTGGCTGCACCAATTTACATTCCCACCAACTGTGTGGGACAGGAATTCTTGATGGATTTCCAGGGAGCTGTATCTCTGCAAACCCTGGGAAGCAGCTACAGAGACTGCCTGGGGTTTGTCCTATTCTCTGTTTCCCTGCAGTGAAAAGGGCTTCCATTGCAGTCTGAGGGACTGAGGTTAGACGTTGGGAATAACTTTCCCTCTGACAGAGGAAGAAGTGAAAAGGGATAACTGAGTTCATGGTGCAGGGAGTAGCGTGGGTCTTTCCTGGTTGCGCCTGTCCAGACTTCCTTCCTTCCCTAAGGGACCCAGCTGGGCCTCTCCAGGCTGGGGTCTGGCTCTGATGCAGGCAATTTACTGGACAAGGGCCTCGCTGCCCTGCAGGTGGCGCCCTTGAGCCTGCCCGGGAGGTGGCTCGGTCTGCACTCAGCTCTGCAGCAGCTCGAACGGGCGGCCGGATTCTGGTCCCCACCCTGTGCCCACAGGGCCTCAGGCTAGGAGTTGCAGGACCCCAGGCCTCAGGCCTGAGTGAGCCAGAAGTAGCTGCTGTAGCATCAATGTGAAGACGGAGAAAACCCTGGGTTTGGGGGCCGCCCACCTGCCCAAAACAGTTCAGGGGCCCCGCCCTGTGGGCCTTTCCAAGGGTGGCGCTCAGTGTGTGGTGACTCAGAAAAACCTGGTACAGATCTTAGTTCTTCCCCTCACTGCCTGAGGACACCCGGGCATGTCCATAGTTTCTCTGTTTTCCCACCCAAAAAAGTGAATGATCCGTCCTCCTTCATAGGGCCGTCAGAACACCTAATAAGCACTTAATAAATGTTAGCAATTATTGTTATTCAGCAAACGCGATGTGTCAACGCGTCACGAAAGATTATATTGCCAACTAGATGGATATTGAACGCTAGAATCACAAGTGGTTTTATTTTTAGAAAGTATTTAAGAAGATTTAATTATAATTTCAAAACATTAAATTGAGAATTCCAGGTTTAAGTAAAATTTTGATTTTACATTTTGATATCCATTACTTATCATTTGTATTTGGCCTTTAAAGTTTAATAGATATGTTTTAATATTTTAGAAAAAATAATTTTTTTTCACATACATAACTTTTCAAAAAAGTTAATTTTTACAACTGATTTAATTTACATTTCTATGATGAAAATGTATTCAAATTTTATACTCTGGATGTAATTCATTTTATTTTTAATCCCTTGGATCGTTGAGAATGAGTGCAAATAGACATGATGATAGAAAGAGCAATTATGGAAGTGGAACTCAGACAAAAAAAGGCACAAAGAAACAGAAAATCTTGAAAGAGACAGTCTGCTTAAAATTTTAAAAATTGCCAACAACAAGTGAGCAGCTTTCACTGTACCCCTCCCCGTCAAAAACCCCACTTATATGATTACTAGAAACGAGAAAGGAGCTGAATAAACCGCCAACGGTGGACAGTCTTCAATAAAGATAATAGGGAACGTTGATGAGATGTTCTTTTTTTTTTAAGATTTTATTTTTATTTATTTATTTATTTTGGCCAAGCCAGGTCTTAGTTGTGGCAAGCGGATCTTCACTGTGGCATGGGGGACTTTTTAGTTGCAGCAGGCAGGCTTCTTAGTTGCAGCACGCATGCTGGATCCGACCAGGGATCGAACCTGGGCCCCCTGCATTGGGAGCGCAGAGTCTTACCCACTGGACCACCAGGGAAGTCCCCAACAAAATGGTCTTAAAGGGATCAGAGGTAATTTGGACAAGATACAGTAGCACTAGAAGAGTTCAATGAAACAGCAGATGATCCTCAAAGAGCAAACCATGGACTTTGGCAGAAAATGAAAGTATCTTTAAAAGTTTGTTAATTATTTGCTTGTCACTCATAATGTTAGCAAAGGGTTATTTTTAAAAAACAAACAAATCTAAATTGGCTGTGTCATTTTTTAAAAGACTAAAAATATTTTTAAATGTTTAGAGAAAAAAGTTTTTATAAGTAGAGAGAACCTTCATATATAATATGCAGTAAAAGTAATATTCCAATAAAATGTAAGGAAACTAGAAAGCAGAAATAAAACGCTCATATGACCGTGAAGGAGAAGATTCACATTCACATAGTCCAGTTTATAGAGACTATTTTCTAGCCATTTCCGCCTAGATTAAGGCAGAATCTCAATTGAGAGATTTGAACAAAGGAGCAAAATACTGGTATTTCGGGTTTTCTTTATAATGTCCCAGTGTTGAAAAATGTGAAAGAACTTAAGAAATGCTACATGGATTCTTCATGCTAATCAAGGAATATAAATTAACACACTGCTTCCTTTATCTGGAAAGTCCTGCTATGAACAAATATCGGCTGAATTAAAGAGTGTGCTTGTGGGGTACAGTCTATCACAGCCTCCCTGCCTCATCACAGACCTGCAACAAATATTTTATGGTTTGGCATTTGGGGTACCACCAAGCTAGATACCGCTTCAAGAGATGTTGAAATCTGTAATGAGAGAAATTCCTAGGGGACAATGAGAATATTATGTAACGTTTCCTGTGATAATGATGAGTTATTCTACATAAGCTTATTAAACTATTTGAACATATGCAAAATTTATGATTCACTTCCGAACCTAAGGACCACTTTAAGGAATATGTGACTAATTCCAGTTGCTACTGTCTCAGAATATTGAACTTTCTCCATACAGAATTTAAAGAAAAACTAAGAACTCAAGAAAGGTTGTCTAACTTGGCATTTCTGGCAGTAGAACAAAATTTTGTTACCAATTATTTAACAACATTGTGATTTTGTTGAAACAAAGGAAGAGATGCACTGAATAATGTATAACTTACCTGTTTTTATTTTATTAATCTTTCAAACATCATGAACCCATCAACAGAACACTCATACATAGTAATGATTAAATTCAGCCATCTTTGATATTTTACTAACTTTCAGCCATATAAAAGCCAGTTTTCAGTCACATGAAAAACACTATTTTCAATTTTGTCATTATTAAGGTATATCTGTTAAGGTAGGAGGAGAAAACTTTCTTTAAAGGGCTTGTGAGCCTGATTAAGGACTTTGAAATATTTAGTCATGTGGCTGGTGGGCCTCCATTTGTACTCTTTTTTTTTTTTTTTTTTTCGGCATGCGGGCCTCTCACCGTTGTGGCCTCTCCCGTTGCGGAGCACAGGCTCCGGACGCGCAGGCTCAGCGGCCATGGCTCACGGGCCCAGCCGCTCCGCGGCATGTGGGATCTTCCCGGACCGGGGCACGAACCCGTGTCCCCTGCATCGGCAGGCGGACTCTCAACCACTGCGCCACCAGGGAAGCCCTCCATTTGTACTCTTGTTCCAGGCCCCAGAAATGTTAGGAGACCACCTAAACACCCTTCTTCAGAGAGGCTGTGAGGCATAATGGAGAGTCACTGAGTACGGAACAAGAAGACCCACCTTACTGGACTTATTTTCCTTCCTTGTCCATGAATCCGAGGTGACACGGCCTGCCTCCCAGCACCATTTAGAATTCCCAGGACGTAGTACATGTGGAAGTGCTTCCTGACACGGAGACAACTCTCCAGGTTGTCTGGCCCAAGAACCCTGGTTTCATGCCTTACCTCCTTCGTAAGGGACACTGGCTTGCCCCAGCTGTTGACTCACTGGCAGTTCTAGGCCATCATATTTTATACCACAGCTGTCCTCTTACCCCTGGTTGACCAAAGGGTAGTCAAGTGAACTATGACATAAGAGTAGACAAAGGTGAGCTGGAATGGAGAATATTTCCGCCTTCCCATCGACCCCACCCCCTTCCCCAGGACATCCTGTGTGTGCTCAGCGACCCAGGAGTGCTGCTAAACTTCTGTCTACTCTGCCTGCCCTCCTGCCCCACCCCATCTCTCTAGCTCATAAATGTGGTCTCAATTTTTCTGTGGTATGAGCTAAGAAATTGTTAGAGACTCGCCTTTTATCTAATGCAGAGAAAAACTGAGATGGCTAAATTAGACCGGTTGTTACCTACTACAATTATGAAAGAATCAAACGATCCTGACCAAAGTTAGAACAAAATTTGACCCTAGAAAATGGACTTGGTAGAAATAAAGCTCACAAAGGAACACTTGCCATGACAGAAACTATCATCAGTGAAATCTGGTACTCACCAAAATGTGATCTATGAACCAAATTTCTAACCTAAAACTTAAGTGAAAAAGAATTGGTCCCCATGAAAATAGTTTTAGTCAACTCGAAATGAAAAAGTGAAAAAATCGGAAATGGCTTAACTGGGCTTTATAGAAAATTGATCAAGGAATTAAATTGACTTAATGGAGTCCATTCCGGAAAGCCCTTTCCCAAGGAAAATTCATCAGAGTCAGCGTACTTCCTAGTTACATCTTTATACTCAAAATGTCTCCAGTGGATTCTCTGTGGAATTTTCAGTAAGAAACAAGGAGAGGTGGTTCATGGTGGTTGCACCTGAAAGGTCACGGTGTAGAGGGGCTGGGGAAGGTGTGGGCAGGGTCTTTGTAGGTGGGCTCCTCTCTCCCTAAAAATGTACTAGAATTATATGACTGCATTGGTATTACGACAAATATAATCCAGGCTGGATTCACTGTTTTCTATTCGCCATTATTATTATTTTAATTAATTAATTTATTTTTGGCTGTGTTAGGTCTTCGTTTCTGTGCGAGGGCTTTCTCTAGTTGCGGCAAGCGGGGGCCACTCTTCATCGCAGTGCGCAGGCCTCTCACTATCGCGGCCTCTCTTGTTGCGGAGCACAGGCTTCGGACGCGCAGGCTCAGTAGTTGTGGCTCATGGGCCTAGCTGCTCCGCGGCATGTGGGATCTTCCCAGACTAGGGCTCGAACTCGTGTCCCCTGCATTGGCAGGCAGATTCTCAACCACTGCGCCACCAGGGAAGCCCTGGCCATTATTATATTCGTCTTTTTCTTCTAATTTTAAAAGAAATTAAAATTAAAACACTTCTGTGGGCTCCTAAAAAGCATCGAGGGCCTTAGGCACTGCGACTAATGGATAAGTTGGCCCTGGTAGGGGCCCAGGTCAAGGGTAACCAGGAAAGTCTGAATGAACCTGGGGGTAGGGTGGGGCCGGATGGAAGGAAGAGACAGGGCTTTACCTTCATCTTCTTAATGGAAGTTGCCAGGGTGACAGTTCCCAGTCCAGCCTTCCTGCAGCTGCTCTGCTTTTCCTAAGGCCTGGTTTCTATTCCCACATCTCTTTACAGTGAACGTTCCATCTCTCAAGGAGCCCTGGGTTTCTGTTCTTGCTACCTTAACAGCCCAAGTAAACAAACAATTCTAAGGCCCTCTACCCACACTCGTGAAGCCCCTCTCAGCAATCCACGTCAGGGCCATCCTGTCTCGGTTGAGTTGTTTGTGTGGAGGAGAGCCTTGTGCATGTGGTCCCTTCCCTGACTCAGCTGTGCACTACTGGGGCCAAGATTGGCTTTCTCTTTAGACCCACCCCCTAACCATTCCACCTCATCAACATTTGAGTACCTCCTGTGTGCCAGGGGTCATAGAGCCTGGGTCATAGAGCCTGGCGCACAGCATTAAACAAGACACAGCCCTGCCCTCAAGGCACTCATTCAGGGCCAGCTCAGGACAGGGTTTCTCAGCCTCAGCACTATTGACATCTGGGCTAGATAATTTTTTGTGTGGGCAGCTGTCCTATGCATTGTAGGATGTTCAGCAACACCCCTGGCCTCCACTCGCTAGGTGCCTCCCCCAGATCATAACCATAAAAATTTCTCCAGACACTGCCAAGTGTCTCCTAGGCGGCAGACATTGCCCTAGTGAGAACCACTGGTTTAGGCAATGGGTGTTGACAATGGAGTCAAAGGGCTCAGGGATCACAATGTAGCTCATCGTGGGCACCCCAGAACGCCCATAGGAGCTGGAGGGGAGAGAGATGCAGGGATGCAGGTCTGGCTGTCAGGGATGCTTCACGGCTGAAGTGCTGTTTTAATTCGGGTCTTGGAGCTGAGCAGAGCCCTGGAAGAACTGTCAACAACATGGAGGAGAAGAATTGAGAGAACTCTTATGACGTAAGATTGATGAGAAACGCTTATGCTCCAGTAGGAATGATGGGGGTTAGATAATGGGTAGATCTCATTATCAACTGGAGGGCGGGGCATGTGTAAATACCTAGGAAATCCTTAGACAATACTTAGGTTACCCATGAGTTAAATCTAGTCTCAAGATGCATTTTGTTTGGTTCATCTGCTAATAATTTAATTTTTGACATGATTTTAAATGCTTTGTTTTAGCCACAGTCCCCACTATTCTTTATCACTCACTGACCCAATTATTCTTTTACAATTATTTCACTTGCCAGGTTTCTGAAGGCTTGTAAGTTTACATCTTTAAATATAAACAATAGAGTGACTTTTCACTTGGGGGTTCATAGACACTTTCCAGATCTTTGGGTAAAATTGAGGACATCAGGAGGCTCAATAATCGGCTGAGACCATGGGACCCAAAAATGCATCTAAAATTTTCTGGGCATTTTTCTGGTGAGAGAGTCTCTGGCTTTCATAGAGATCTCCAAAGGGTCTGCCCTTCTCTCCTGAAAAAGGCCTAGCTAGGTGGGGCAGATGTCTTTGCAGGTCCCTGGAGACATTTTGTGCAATCGGCAAAGGAGAGACTCAGGGCTGACTTCTGTTCACCTTTTCCTCTTAGCCTCGGTTAATTCAGTTAGTAATTAAAAATATGAATGCACCCTGGGATCTGCTTAGAGCACAGGCAGGCGTTGCGGCGGTCACCAGAGGGCTGGGAGCATTGATTTAAGATGTCTGGGCAAACTTTGTGAACCAGAGAGAAAGCCTTCAGTTAAAGATTTCTTCCACCAATTAAGAGGCCACTTTGAAGGACACAGAGCCAGAGGCAAGACAAGAATCGCAGCTTGGAGGTGCCGGTCAGCCAGGGAGGACACGGGCGACGGTGGTGTGGTCCACAAGTGCTCTCCCTCACCCTCCTCAGCCCGCTGGCCCCAGGGCCCGCTGGCTGTGCCACCTCCCAGCAAATCACTCTCACAAAGGATCTGGTCACTCCATTTACAACAAGGTGTACATGATGAAGCAGCATACAATTAGGTTCGCATTTTGACTGTAATCATGTTTTGGCCTAAGAGTCTCTGATTTCACGGGTAGCTGGCTGGGGGCGAGAAAAGGGTGGAGGATAACTCTGGGGAGGGGTCCGTGAGGTGGGGATTTTGGGGGAAGGGGCAGGGGTCCTGTCCTCAGACTCAAAGCCCTTTTCCTCAACTGAGAATTGGAATTGTTCTTTGAGTTGCAAGGACAGCTGGGGCATTTCTTCTGGGTGGTTCCAGTGTGGGCAAAGACTCTCCTTCCCACTGAAAAGACAGCAGCTGTGTGTGATTTCTCTGGGTTTTCTGTTAATCCTACCTCTCTGTAGTTTTTGCTCTCAGGATCTGCTGGGCCCACCAGGCCTGGGCTGAGTTCTGAATTTCCCAAGGGGGTGGGCAGGCTGCTCTCTGTGTGTGTGTGTGTGTGTGTGTGTGTGTGTGTGAGCGTGCTCACACACATGGGTCTGGGGCTTACTGTGACTCTGACCCATCTCCCAGAAAACTCTGTGCTGAGAACTCTGGGGAACTGGTTTGTTCTGGGGGATGGAGAAAATGAGCAGCTGTAGGGAGGCCTGCACTCTGCCATTAAAGGGGATGCCCACTCCATTGGTCCCCTAGGACCACCCTGAGGATAAACTAAACTAATGGAAGGATGCTAAAAAGTTTAATGTAGGAAAGTTCTTGAGAATCTCATTAATTCAAACTCTAATTTGGAATTTGTAGTATTTTTAAATGTTTTGTTTTCATAGCAAAGAATAAAAAACGTGTGCCTCCTGAATCTGTTACTTTCGCAGATTATAGAGGGCAGGGACCCATTCTTACTCGTCACTGACTCTCCAGCTGCTGGCAGGCTGCCTGGTAACCGCCCGCTGAATCCTTCCAGATGTTTCTTGTGCATTTACATACGTGTGTGTGCACTTGCACACACAAACACACTCTACTTACATCTTACTCTGTAACATACAGAGCTTTTGAAAGTCCATTACGGAAGACGGTAAACAGGAGGGTGCCGGAGGGGCTGTGATGCTGGGTCATCCAAGATCTAATGTATACAGATGGTCCAGGGATGCAGAAGAAACGGGGCACATACCAAGGAGACTTGATCGCTGAAACAACCTCCTGTTTCCCGGCTCTTCTAATCATTTAGTGGAGCAAGTGTCAATTTCAGCAGATCTCATAGAGTCTATAGAGGAAATGGGCTCATTTTCCCATCTGTGGGCCAGCACTGGGGCTGAGATCTGCATCCCTACTTGAGCCCCCTGGGGTGGAGTCAGGAGCTAGTGGGTCATGGCTATTGCTTGGGGATGATGGCTTGGAACATGGAATCTGGGGGCAGACATACCTGGCTTCCAGATCTTGGCTGTCAAATTACTGAATGACTTCTGGCGAGTCGTTTGACTTCTCCAAGTTTGTTTTTTCATCTGCGAAGTTCTTCCTCCCAAGACTGTCAAAAGAATTAGGAGTACATGTGGAGTCCTTTTGCCAGAGCCCGACGGTGGGCACGCAGACACTTGAGCTGCCCATATTCCCACTACTACTTGGCTTTGATTTGGGTGGGGGAGGATACCCAAAGCCTACCAGAGGAAAAGCGCTCCCGGCTGTGGCTCAGGGCAGGCACGGCATCTTCTTACCTTTGCTGTCCTGGCAGCTAGCACGTGAAACGAACTGCATGACCTGGAGCAAGCTGCTTAAACAGTGTTTTGTTTTCTCATCTACCACCAGAGTCAGGCTGAGTGGTAAATGAGTTTGAGCTTGGGAGGCACCTACAATGGTGCTTATTCCCTCTCCTTATTCCTAAACAAAGATCAAGAAACACCAATCCAGGGACTTCCCTGGTGGTCCAGTGGTAAAGAATCCACCTTGCAGCGCAAGGGATGCGGGTTCAATCCCTGGCTGGGGAACTGAGATCCCATATGCCGCAGGGCAACTAAGCCCGCGCGCCACAACTACTGAGCTCGAGCACCTCAACTAGAGCCCGCGTGCCACAAACTATAGAGCCCACGCACCCTGGAGCCTGCGCGCCACAAACGGGGAGAAGCCTGCGCTCTGCAATGAAGAGCCCGCGTGCCCCAACGAAAGGTCCCGCATGCTGCAACTAAGACCCGACGCAGCCAAAAATAAATAATAAATAAATCTTAAAAAAAAAACAAAACTTTCTATCATTCTACTTTAAAAAAAAGAAAAAGAAACACCAATCCAGAGCCATTGTGGGCTGTACTTTGCTGTACCATGATACTCAGAGCTCTGAATATTTACTGACAAGAAGCTGCCTGGGTGACACGTCCTGGTGGGTATTTCCAGATGGAGACAGTACCCTCTTCGTTGCTTGCAGGAGTTGAGGAGATGCACTCTCCTCCTCCCGATTACCTTGCCACACCAATGAAGGGATTTGGGAATTAGTTTGGGGCCTCCTACTCTGTATTCGATTGACTTGCAGAGATTTAATTTCACCGGTATTAAAAAAGGAAAGACAGAGTAACAGGCATTAAATTAAGCTCGTGCGCTTTTGCCAAGACCCCTCCGCCCCCACCAGACCTCAGGGATTTACTTCCTTCTCTAGTGCCCAAAGAGATTATCACTCTACTAGATTTTCTAGACTGAAATGGAACAGCCATTCTTATCTCGGGGATTTCACTAGGTGCTGATGAGCACCGAGCAAAATCCCAGGAAGGCACTGGCTCTTCCAGGTGCACTAGAGGCAATGTGTGTGGGGTTGCCTAATAATATCCTCCCTAAACCGTGTGTTTACCAGCAGTTCGTGGGCTGCTCTATTTCTGATCCTTTCCAGGACTTTTTTCTTCCTCTTTCGCTGTTCTCTTGGCTACTGCTCGATGGTTTGCTTTGCAGTCCTGTCATTTCACAAAATCCTACTTCTGGAAAAGGATTAGCAAAATTACACAGTGTCGCTCCTACTTAACATTCAGGAAATGCAGCATCCACACGCAAGTTACCAATCATACTTACCAGATGGTAACTGTATCTTTTCACCAGAAAGTGAGCTGCAAACATTGAAACTCATCACCAACACATTTAAATTCACATCCATTTTCAATTTGACATCCTTATTAATGAGTTGGTATAATGAAAATCAGTATTTTATCCCTATATTGTTAACTATTTGTAACAATGATGCAGACTTGATATGTTTTAAATTGTCATGAAACAAAATCTCACAACCTACAATTCTGATATACTGTGTATCTAAATATATTTTTTCAATACTTCAGAGTTTTATATTCAGAATGGGCTAATGCAAATGGCACATGGCAGGAAGAATAAAAATCTTGCAGCTGGTGATGGTGTCTATATACTTTTGTAGCACCACTGCTCAAGCTTAGTGGTTACCTTTTGATCAACTATTTCCCTAAAAAAACTTTAAGATCAACTAGTTCTCTCTTATTGGACTTGTGTTAGGAGGCAACTGAAGCCCATGGGGGTGGAGTAAGTTTCTGATGTGATAACAGCAGAGCCAGAGAGCCTTGCCTCCCGAGTCCCCGGTCTAGATTTCAGTCCGGGGAAGAACTCTGAGTTTTGGCCTTAGCTGGTTGTCAATAAATTAAATGGCAACCCTGGCTAGTTTGGTTTCTGTGTACTTAATGAGTGAAGAATGGTTGCTAATGGGCTGAATTGTGTCCCACCCAAAATCCATGTTGAAGTCCTAACCACTAGGACCTCAGATTGTGACTGTATTTGGAGAGAAGACCTTTAAAGAGGTAATTAAGGTAAAATGAGGTTTCTGAATTAATGGGCCCTGATTCAATATGACTGGTTAGGACACAGACAACACACAGAGGGATGACCACGTGTGAGAACACAGCAAGAACGCAACTGCATGCCAAGGAAAGAGGCCACAGAAGAAACCAACCCTGGTGACACCTTGATTTTGGACTTTTACCCTCCAGAATTGCGAGAAAATAAATTTCCACTATTTAAGCCACACAGTCTGTGGCTTTTTTTTTTTTTTAATGGCAACCCTAGCAAATACAGTGGTCTAGACTGAAAGAAAATGTAGAACTCACATTATACTTTTCTTTATAATAGAGACACTATGTTATTGAGTAGGGCTCATTTATCCTAAGGATACAGTGGAATCTCATGGAACCAGAGTGGAATGCCGATGGCCTCAGAAATGCATCGGAGGGGCTTCTCTGGTGGCGCAGTGGTTAAGAATCCACCTGCCAATGCAGGGGACACGGGTTCGAGCCCTGGTCCTGGAAGATCTCACATGCCGCGGAGCAACTAAGCCTGTGCGGCACAACTACCGAGCCTGTGCTCTAGAGCCCACAAGCCACAACTACTGAGCCCACGTGCCACGACTACTGAAGCCTGTGCACCTAGAGCCCATGCTCTGCAACAACAGAGCCAGCACAATGAGAAGCCCGCGCACTGCAACAAAGACCCAATGCAGCCAAAAATAAATAAATAAATTTATTTAAAAACAAACAAACAAACAAATGCATTGGACCCAGGGCCTGGAGCATTGTCAAGATTCTGTGTTCGGGCTTCCCTGGTGGCGCAGTGGTTGAGAGTCCGCCTGCCGATGCAGGGGACGCGGGTTCGTGCCCCGGTCCGGGAAGATGCCACATGCCGCGGAGCGGCTGGGCCCGTGAGCCATGGCTGCTGAGCCTGCGCGTCCAGAGCCTGTGCTCCGCAACGGGAGAGGCCACAGCAGTGAGAGGCCCACGTACCGCAAAAAAAAAAAAAAAAAAAATTCTGTGTTCATCTCTGTTTTTCATTGTGTATCTGCTTCAGTTTTGTTTTGTTTTGTTTTTTAAATCCATCCCAATTTCCAATTCCTGGGGAAGAGACTGATTGGCCCAGCTTGAGTGAGGGACTCACCCCTGGTCTAAGAGTCATGTTAGAAATGACTGTTAGAGTGAGGCAGAGTCACATGGCACACCGTGGCCATCCCAGCCCTGTGGAGGGCTTCCCTGGTGACACAGCGGTTAAGAATCCACCTGCCAATGCAGGGCACACTGGTTCGAGCCCTGGTCCGGGAAGATCCCACATGCCGCGGAGCAACTAAGCCCGTGCGCCACAACTACTGAGCCTGCGCTCTAGAGCCCACGAGCCACAACTACTGAAGCCCGCACGCCTAGAGCCCGTGTTCCACAACAAGAGAAGCCACTGCAACGAGAAGCCCATGCACTACAACGAAGAGTAGCCCCCGCTCGCCGCAACTAGAGAAAGCCCGCGTGCAGCAACAAAGACCCAACACAGCCAAAAATAAATAAAAATAAAATAAATTTAAAAATAAAAATAAAAAAGCCCTGTGGAGACAAAGGAGGCGTTCTCAGGAAAGGAGAGCTCACCAGACTATGGAATAAGTCCTGTGCAGCACGGAGGGTCTGTCTCCTCTCAAGGGCAATGGGGAGGCAAATATGTGATGCTCAGTGTGCTAAAGCAGAATGGCCGATGTATTAACAGTTTGGCTACAGAGAGCAAAATTAAGGCAAGAGCAGTGCAAGGCCTCATTCAGACCAAGGACTGCTTGCAATCTTATGGCTGTTTCCCAACTGAGGATGAGAGAAAGAAGAGATGACGACAATGTTGATTAGCAGCCTGTCAACGTATGTGCACCCATCAGGTAGAAAAAGTTGATTGGTGATCAACTGGAATTCCATTATAGAAATGGTGCAGAATGTTTATAATCTAAAAAATAATGTGCAATGAAACATAACAGGAAGCCAGACTAGTCTCTGGTTTCATACATATTAGGGAACCTAAATCATTACTTTCTGAGAGGAAGGGGGCGGGGGAAGATTAAATAATGCTTTTTGTTCTGGAGAGCAGGTTATGTATGGGAAAAACAGCAAGAACAAACTTTCAAATAAATCGGAATCAGACAAAAGTGGTTACCATCCTGAATTAGCATGGGAAAGGGCATCCTCACAACTGTCACAGCACCTTGCTTTTGCTCACGTTGCCCCTTCTTCTTCTTCCACCTGGCACCCAGGCCTGAAGCCCCTGCTTCGGCTATGCCCTCTGTAACACCTACCCTGACTGACCACACAATTTGGCATTTTATTTTTCTGAAACTGTTTTGTGGACATTGTGTTCCCCCTGTAGACTAAACCTCCTTAGGATGAAGGCCTATATGATATTCCCCACTTTGTCTTAAAGGGCCTGACACACCTTTAATGAATATTTGTTGCCTGACTAGTTGTCACCAGCTGAACAGAAAGTGGTCAGAAATATGCTTGCTGGGCTCAAGTAATCTTAGAATCATCAGAGAAGAAAGAGAAACATCCACGTATGTTCCTTTTAAGATAAAAACTTTATTTTACAATTATATAAAGCTGCTTTACATTAAGCACAAACAATCCATTTACTTCGTATAGAAACAAAATACCTTTTCATCTGCAAAAAATCAAGTTTTGCTGTATATAAAACTAACACGTGCACATTGTGCTTGAACTGCAAAGTCTGTACAGCTTTACAAAGGACTACCCTGCAGAAGGGCATCCAGTAAACACTTTATTGCATATTTAACACATGGTCTATAACCCACATGTACAATGGAGGAGAAACAAGAAAAACAATTAAAAGGAGGATGAAAATAGCAGCTTTCAGTGAAAGTGTGCACACCGACAAAGAAAAAGGTCTGCCACATCCGTAGAGTTGTGCTTGTGTGTCATTTTTGTATTTCCTCACATACACTGGATGGTTTTTGGATGAAGCCTTTATGTACAATAACTCTGAAAGGGTCAAACCTGACCTTCATCTGGAAACTTTTGGCTGGTTTTATAACTGAAGTGGCAATAGGTTTAATTTAATATCAAAGCTAACTCAAGGTAAGTGTAAACAACTAATATCCATATTCTTGGAGCAAAGAAAAATTTAAAGAAATAAAACAAAACTTTAAAATACCCTCCCCATTCTCGCAAAGCTCAGACTAAATAAACATTTTGCATGACTTAAAATCCTAGAAAACTCCACAGGTGCTTAGGAAGAAAAATGTGATGGATGGTCTTGGGCAGTGTTTCTCCACATATATCCCCCGGTTCACTTGCATCAGAATTACCTGAACACTTTTTAAAAATGCAGATTATCATGCTTCACAGGCAGATTTACTACATATCTGGAATCTGTATTTCAGTAAGCTCCCAGGTGATTCTGAGGCATTAGTTTGAGATGCACTGGTTTGTACGGACAGTGCTGCTACAGGGTCAATTCACCCTCTTCGAAAATTCTGGGATCACAGGAAAAATCGAGTTGCTGTTGCAACGTGGAAGGCAGTGTGAAACCAACAGCAATGAAATAGCAATGCCATTTCTAGATCAAAATGTCTTTCTTTTTTCAGTGGAAAAAGACAGCCACATTGTTAAGGCACTGATATTTGTCACAGAAGCAGTACCATACTGTTTTCATTGATTCCCTCAATCTGAAGTACCAGTATGCAAACACAAGGCAGAAGTCTGGACTGCTCTAAATAATAACACATACGATGGAGTAAAAACGATTTCCAGATTGGAGAAGGTTTATTTTTGAGCCCTGAAATTAAAAAAAGAAGGAGTCCAGATATTCTTGTTGAGACATCTCATGTATAAGAACTACAAAGGTCAGAATCTAGGGGGAAACCTAATAACCCACAACTGTTTTGTTGTGGGCAAAATCGACTTGTGGTCACATAAATTGGGAGTTTAAACTTACTCTTCCATGGCCAGTTTAATATTGTCTTCAGTTGTAGATCTTCGTTCCTGCCCCCCTTGCCACTGAAACATATATTTTGTACATAGGTATGTACGTATTGTCTGGTTTCTAAGTGGTGCTGGTAGGCTGAGTTCAATCAAGATGTAGTGTGCAGGCAGGTGCCCACCTGGCTCTTGATGTGCATTTCATACAGGTCACACACACACTGCACGGCGTGTGTCAGACTCAGTCCCCTGAAAATATGGGGTCTCATATTTCCATTCTGTATAAGTTATTGTACTGATTTAGTGTATTGTCATACACTAAAACAAAGACAGCAAAATCAGCCTCCCTCAGTTCTGACCTACTGCCTGAAGTCTTATAGCAGACGCTACCCAGGGTATGAGGGCTATGATACCTATTTATGTGAGGTATAAAACCAAAATAAAGGTCTGATTACACACGTACAGCTAATGCAGTAGCATCACTTTTACCCAATAGCTGAAATAATTTAAAGTTAAAATTGCAAAGGAAGAACACTGATGCACAAAAGGCAATAGTTTGGAAAGTTGTCGACCAAGAATGATCTAAGTAGAAAAAAAAAAACTGCTATAAACCTTATAATATCTGACCTAGTAGTTTTCTTTAAAGGGGAAAAAAAATCTTAAAAAGACAGTGGTAGTGGACTTATCAAAATTACTACCTCCTCCCCAAATTTAGGTTTATAATAAAAATTCCCAAATGCCCCCCCAACATAGAAAAAACTCTCTAGCATAGTCTGAAATGAAATACAAAATTCTAGATAGTGACAAAAAGAAACCACCACAATGGGGGTAAAGGAGGGATAGAATGATTATCAAACCTTTACTGATTGTAGATCAAGTTTCATAAAACAGATAACATTTCTGTAATTTCTTGTGCAGTCAACAAGTTTCATCTTAGTTGTGCTTACATTATATAACTGTGAAGCCTGAACACTGGTTGTGTTTTTAATTTACACGTTTCAAGAAAACCATAAATTCAAAATATTCTCCATATATAACAAATTGAACAAATGCAACAAATGCTCATTCACTCCCAAGAAATTAATATATAGAAAAGAAACATCATTTTTAAAGTTGCACACAGTCCACTATTCAGGCTACAAGTACATATTTACTGTATTACAGCACATTATTTTTTTAAAGTCTGCTTTCAACATAAACATAAATAACCACATTTTAAAAGAGCCCCATACTAAGTTTGCAGGCAAGTGCTGGACAGTTGGCCAGTAAGAGCTACTTACCATTGTCTTTCCCAAACCGAGAGGACTGGACTATCTGTGGAACTATCTGTATAGGGTGATAAGCAAGGCCAAGTTAAACATTTTCATTCACCCGTTGACTAAACACTTTGCTGCTCTAAATGCCACCTACATTTCTAAACACCCAACTCATGGAATGCAATTATCTCAGAAGACTGGTTTTAAGGATCATTTATCACTTTGATGTAATCCACAAAAACCTAGTATACAACCTTTTAAAATGTGCCTATGCTCTGCTGACAGAGAGCCTGTAGTTTCTGTGTACAGCAGAGGCTGAAATATGATTTTGGTTCTGAGCTCTAGTTGTGCTTTGCCCTGCTGCCTTTAAGGTAGCTTTTCCACCTCTTGACAAATTCTTTGAAGACTGGGGACTCATCAATGGTGCTGAGTAGCTGCAGTTGATTGATGTGGGTGGTGTGATAGTCCCAGCGGGCCAGGTTGGGGGCAATGCCAAGCATGAAGTGCCGGAGGTCATAGATGGTTCCTGAGCCAGTGTCGTACAAGGGGAGCATGGCTTTAAGGGATTCCATGCCACGCTCATACAAGGACCTCGCTTCTTTCCCGAGTTTTTCCCCTGCAGTTTCTTTTAAGTCATACAGCCCAATTAAAGAATACATAAAGCCATTTAAAACAAAAGAGCTAGGTGTGGTTGGATATTCTTCATACCAGTCATGTTTATTCATAAACACAGCTTTAACTCCATGCTGCTCTGATAGAAATTTGTAAGGGGCTGTTGCCCTTAAAGCTGAATTGAGGAATATACGGTCTTTTGTTAAGAGATAGGCCCTGACTAATGTAGAAATGGCTTGCCCTTGGGCCATGGCAGAGTACCACCCTGGCTCTAAAGACTTGAACCCTTCCCCTAACTTACGGGTCACCATAATTGGCCAGCCACCTTTCTCATCCTGGTTCCTCACCAACCAATCACTGGCAGCAAAGAATGCGGCCATGTGGGCTGTGGTAGAGATGGTAATGTTGTCGAGGAAGCCTTTCCCTTTTGCAATCAGCCTAACTACTTTCTTGGGCATTATTTTGGTTGGCTTGACAGCTTTTGTGTTGGAAAGACCCACTCCTTTCCGGAGGTCAGTGACCAGGTCCCTGGTAACCGTGCTCCATGAAGTTCTGGGCCCAATGCCATAGTATATGTCTCTTTCTTTAAAAGCAATTAGCTGGGTATTTGAGACATAATGTACAGTGAAGAGCTGATTCTTTTCTGTGGTCTCCAGAACCACAGACACACTTCCGTTTGTTAAGAACTTGAGGTCAAATGAAATAATAAAATCTTTTGTGTTCCCCAGTTGCAAGGACACACCATCACTGGTTTCTGTAGGGGGAAAATATACCAAAAAAGACTGGTTAGAATAGAAGCTCTTTGTATTTAAAAGTTACTTGCAATTCATCCTTGACAATCCCTGACCATACAAAATTAATACTTCAATATTTTATATGTCAGATTTTTAAAAATATTTTAATTTTTGCTAAGTTAACCATAAACAGATGACACTTGTTGAGTCCGTGATGGCTTGTGAGCACCAGGGCAAAGCTCTTACCTTCTGGCCTGTCTAGTTTACATTAGAGGGGTTAATGGCCTTAGCAGATAGCTAAGGTACTGTGGTCAAACTGCCTTTTCTAGATCAAATACTGGCTGGCCAATAATCAATGACTGTCTAGTATACCCATTCTACAAAAAGAAAAAGTATAGCCAAAAGCTGGCTCAGCACATAATATTATAAGAAAGAGCCTAGAAGAAAAGAATGGTTAGACATGAATTAAAAAAACAAATTTTTTTTTTTTTTGGCTGTGCTGCACAGCTTGTGCGATCTTAGCTCACCAACCAGGAATAGAATCTGGGCCACCCACTGTGGAAGCATGGAGTCCTAACCACTGGACCACCAGGGAATTCCCTAAAAAATTTTTATTTACTTAATATTTAATAAGTATTTACTATGTTCTAAGTGCTTTACACATATTAACTCATTTAGTCAGTATAACACTTAAGAGTAGTGCTATTATTACTCTTACTTTATGAATGATGAACACAGACACAGAAGTTAAGTAACTTGCCTAAGGTACAAAGAGTTGAACACAGGTTGTCTAGTCTGGCTGTAGAATACATGCTCTGAATCACCAATCGATGTTGAAAATGATAGATTTGTTTTCAGATATTCATTGGAATTGTGAATAAATTCTGGAAATTAAGCAATCGGCTCATGTAGTCAACAAAAAGTGAGGAATACTGGGGGAGGCTCAAGTTAAAACAAACAAACTTTGTGTGGATTCTCACTTCACCACTTACTAGCTTTGAGATGGTCAACAGGGTACACCTATTTGAGGGCTTCCCTGGTGGCGCAGTGGTTGAGAGTGTGCCTGCCGATGCAGGGGACACGGGTTCGTGCCCCGGTCCCGGAAGGTCCCACATGCCGCGGAGTGGCTGGGCCCGTGAGCCATGGCCGCTGAGCCTGTGCATCCGGAGCCTGTGCTCCGCAATGGGAGAGGCCACAACAGTGAGAGGCCCGTGTACCGCAAAAAAAAAAAAAAAAAAAAGATACACCTATTTGAGCCTCAGTTTCTTCACGTGTTAAGTAGAAATAATATTACTTTGTAAGGTAACTGTGAGGATTAAAAAAAAAGGATAGTGGCTTGGAACATAGTATAAAATGATGATAATGATGATTTTGAAGCCAATGGTTTCAGAGGCTGATAAAATAGCAGAGCTGTTTTATTTGGCAAATCGTCAAATAGGAAATTTCTCTTGCATGTCTACAGTACGATGATGCCTGACTCTCAGAAAGTTGACTTCTACCAAGAAAAGAAACTGAGCATATTAAAACCAAACAGTAGCAGCAGCAGGAAGAAGAGGAAGAGGAAGAAGAAGAAAAAGAGGAAGAAAAACAACAAAAATATATATAGTACAAATTTTATAACATTAAAGGTAAATGTGAATATCTTGGTCGATACAGAGCTTAAATCTTTTTAAAATTTAATTAATTAAGTAATTAACTTTGGCTGTGTTGGCCTTCATTGCTGCACGTGGGCTTTCTCTAGTTGCGGTGAGCGGGGACTACTCTTCGTTGCGGTGCGTGGGCTTTTTTTTTTCACTGCAGTGGCTTCTCTTGTTGTGGAGCACGGACTCCAGGCGCGTGGGCTTCAGTAATTGCGGCACGTGGGCTCAGGAGTTGTGGCGCATGGGCTTAGTTGCTCAGTGGTATGTGGGATCTTCCCGGAACGGGGCTCGAACCTGTGTCCCCTGCATTGGCAGGCGGATTCTTAACCACTGCGCCACCAGGGAAGTCCCCAGAGCTTAAATCTTAAAAACACATTCACATGTATTATCTCATTTGATCCTTACAATAATCTTCTGACGTTGGTAGAGCAGGAATTACTGCTTCCATTTTAGAGATGAAGATATGGAGGCTTTGCAAGGGTAAAAGGTTTGCCCAAAGCCAAATGCTAACTAGTGGTAGAGCAGGGACTAGAAACCAGGGTTCCTGGGTCTAAGTTCAAAGATTGTGAAAAGGAAATGATATTGGAAATACCATCCTCATGAGAATAACCAGTGGAAGAATTATTTCTCTTAAACACAGCTATAGAATCAGATCTACTTTAAGGCCTCCTTGAGGAAACCTTGGGTGCTCCTTATTGGAGCAATGATTGGGAATGCGAACTGATGACAGTGTATACAGTGTGGTTAGCTTGGACAGTATTATCGCCATGTTGAGCTGATCATTTAACTCCTCCAACACTGGACTCTACCAGTGTGGATATAATTGACCCAAGGCTCTTAATTCCTTCATTTGATGGAATAAACAATTATGGAAGTTGTACTGAGAATGAGAATATCTTGCTAGATGTATGATGCTCTGACTTTTTAAAAAGTGATGTCAGAAGTATATTTCTAACACAGTAAAAATCCATTTATCTGGAGAAATGCCAACATGCAACCTCTCTCTTAGCTGGCATTTTCCTGTATCGATAGTAAATGGAATCTGATGCTCAGTACAACATACTTGATGTTTCAGGATGTTTCGCAGGATTCTGAATTGACTTATGAATTACTCAAGATTAAATTAAATTATACTCAGCAGAGGCTATCTTGAGTGCTACTTGTTTTTTTATTCTTATGGTAAAAATGCCTTATTAATCAGACAACACTGTTAACTATGGCATCCATTCTCACCACCATCTTCAGAAGTCCAAATGGGAGAAAGTTGAAGAATTATATTTTCTTCTCAGAATTCCATTCTAATTGTCACTTTATGTATACAAATCTAATGAAATGATATAGTTCAATCAATCACCTTATGTTTCAATATAACAGATTATGTAGTTCAAAGAACTCAGTAATGAATGCTATCATTTAACACCACCAGAGGGGGTTATTGAGCCACAGAGGAGAAGTGACAAAGAAGTCACAATCCCCAATTTAAATCAATCCACAATCCTATGAGACAGGCCTTTTAATTCCTATCTTACAGATATACAGAGAGGTTAAATATCCTGTCTACGTCACTCAGAAGGGTCTGAATGGTAGCAACTGGGACATGACTGTGGTTATGGCAACCACTTTGGAAATATACCAGGCAAGATTTTGAGCTCTACTGGAGAGTCCTAAACTATCTGGAGACCTGTGCTTTAAATCTACTAATAGACAGGGGTAAGACAGGAATAAAGACACAGACCTACTAGAGAAGGGACTTGAGGATATAGGGAGGGGGAAGGGTAAGCTGTGACAAAGCGAGAGAGTGGCATGGACGTATATACACTAACAAACGTAAGGTAGATAGCTAGTGGGAAGCAGCCGCATAGCACAGGGAGATCAGCTCGGTGCTTTGTGACCGCCTGGAGGGGTGGGATAGGGAGGGTGGGAGGGAGGGAGACGCAAGAGGGAAGAGATATGGAAACATATGTATAACTGATTCTCTTTGTTATAAAGCAGAAACTAACATATCATTGTAAAGCAATTATACTCCAATAAAGCTGTAAAAAAAAAAAAATCTACTAATAGAAAGTTTCGAGTTTCCTGTCGCTTGAAATCCATGACTCCTCTCTCTGACCGGTTATTCCCAGGAGTCACTATAAGTGTCTATTTTTGGTATATGTGGTACATATAAATGTACTTTAGGCAACAAAGGGTGATAAACATTTAAGAATAGTCTTTAAATTAATGCTTTCACACATAACATGAACTGTTAGTAATCAACAGGTTTACTATGTGGAGTGAGAAGAGGCCTTAATCAGAACCTCAAGGAACAGAGAGAGACAAGGGTTAGGCAGAAGAGAAGTTCATAAGAAGCCTCAGAAGGAATGGCTACACAGAGAGGAGAAAGTGAGGTCATGGAAATGAAGTGAAGAGAGTGCTTGGGAAAGGGAAAGCTAATTTAATAAAGCAGGACAGGTATAAAGTTTTAATTCATTCAATTTTAAAATTAGGTAGAAGGAGAAAAAACATTCTTCAACAAACAAAACAATAAAAAATATGCTGCAGACCCATGTAATGGTTCTTCCCTCTAGATAATCTTATTTCCTTTCAGGGAAAAAAATTCAAGGCCAAAAAGGAAAAAGACCAACAGCATGTAGCCTCTGGTCTTCCAGAGCCTTACTTCACTTAGGCCTATGCTTTTATGCACAAGTTCCAATTTCTTCTCATCAATGATTCTCTGAATTTATCTCCCAAGAAGACTACATCATCTAAAAAGCCTCATTTCCCATTCCTAAGTTTCAATAAACATCTCACCTTTTTGATTTCTTCTCCTGCTCTGAGCAACAACTCCAACTAACTCTCCCTCATATACTTGTATCAAACGCAACTCCAGACACATCCAAGATATCAAAACAAGCACCACATTCTGAGGTAGCACACTCCTACCAACAGAGAGTTCCAATTGTGAGTAGCTAGTGTGCCACTGGCAGAATATCTGTCACAGACAGTTCTCTCCTCCATATGCTTAAACCCACCTTGGGAAGTAGTTTCATCTCTGGTTGCTGGCTGCAGAATGAAGGGCTAAAGTGAAGGCCCTTCACTTAGTATGAGGAGACCTATTGTTTGTATTAACCAGGGTACCCAAAAGTGCACAATGAAATCTATTGCTCTGAATAGGGCAGAGTTCAAGAGATGGTTCTAGAAAACCTCCCAGCACTTGAGGAGATTGAGATGAGGGCTGCTGCTTTCCACCCTAATCCAGACTACATTATTAATCAGTGTAAAAAGAAGCCCTCTAGATGCAACCAAAATCAAATGGCCTTTTTAATCTAATAATTTCCTGCTATAAGTCATAAGCTAAATACTCTTAAACATCTCCATGTACTTTCTCACCCAGCCAAGCCTGTTGCTTTACAATAAGCAAAGATGCTCTATGTACTGGAATATCACAGAATGCCATAGGATAAAAGAAGTTTTAGTCACAGAATAAAAAGTAAAGGTCACCACCCATTATTTGCATTGCATTAAGCACTCATAAATCCATTACTTAAGGCCATCTAGAGTGAGTAGATTTGTACTGCTGTTTTCAAGGTCTGTGAATTACACAGTCATCAGTAAAGGACAAGGACAGAATACAGAAAAGGTCTTATAACCTTTTCTCTCTTTTTATTTACCAACTGGCAAGGTTGGTGGGAGGGAGGATGAGCTCTGTTCTTGACAACATTCCCCCCCCACCCCGGAACAGAAAATTAAGCCTGAGGTGCTAACTAAAATTATTCCATTGTCTTTTTAAGTAATGAACTCATTAATTCTCATAGATATTGATTAGTGGAGAGAAATACATTACATCCCAATTAATGGGACCGTCTTAGAAAAAGGGGAAATGTTGCATAAAGTTAATTTGATTTTATAAAAGATTTTATTAATGAAATGCCTTTATATGAAGTTTGAAACAATCTAGTACATTACCAAAAGTCAATATAGAAAGCAGGCCTGGTTGGTAATGCTATATTACTTTGAAAAAATAAAAAGCTACTGGTAAAAAATAGGCAAAGGAAAGGATGGCTCTCGCTATAAAGAAAAATTTCTGCCTTAATGCAAAATAGTTAAAAAATTAAAGGATGAGTACTGTGCTGAAACATTAAAATAAACTGAGAAACTTTATTCCTGTGGGATCTGGTTCCCTGGAAGGAGAAAGACATGATGCAGTAACCTGGTTCTTGTGGCTTGGCTCTTCATGCAGTAAATATTCCTTATACAACCTTAAATGTTTTAGCTGATCCTTTAGATTTCACTTGGGTGACACTATTTGTTTCTTCATATATGTAATATCAGGCATCTGCTAATGTGTTTTTTAAAAACCATAAAAACAATTTTAAGGGAGTATCAGGTGCCACATAAATCAACATAAAATTAGCAAACACATATAAAAACACATCACTTAAACAAAACAAAACAAAACATCACTTACCCGGAGCAGTGAACTGTTTAACATTGGTGAATCTAGACTTATCAGCCACACTAGCCATAAAGCAGCCCTTTGGCACGGTCCAGTCATTGGGCTTGCTATTTTTGTCCCTGTCTTCTGCTGTTTCATATACCTCTGTGTGAGGGGGTTTCTCAGTTAGATTCTTGCTGTAATGACTTAACCCATACTGTGCAATCTGGATTGGGTAGAAATAGCCTTGAGGTCCCCATTGTGTAGATAGAGGTACACCTATAAAACAGAGAAACAAAATAAATATCTCCAGACATTCATAATCCTATTCTGAATACCACTCTTCACTGTTTTACTTCTGAGGGAGTTACAGGGTTATCAGCAACTTTTAAGCTTCCTTATTACACTGTTTTCATAATTACTAAAAACAAGTACCAAATTAACCAGAAATGAAAAACAGAACTAAATGCTCATTCACTCTCATTCATTATTTGTTGACAGATAGCAATGCAATGTTGTGGATCATCTTTTTAAGGACTAATTTTTAATGTGTGCTACTTTTGCTCATAGCTACAGATGTCATATTTCATAATTCTGTTTCATACATTCAAGTTTTACACAATTTAAATACATATAGTTAATGTTACCAGCTTTATTCTAGAATATTAAACCTGAAATTTTCTTAACATCTGTACTTAACAGTCAAGTTAATTACATACTAATCTTTCCCTCCGGTGTCAAGATGTGGTCTAGTAACTTTATCATCTGACGGTTAAAAGTATTTGTTTAAGAAGCCAGCTATGGGGGGCTTCCCTGGTGGCGTAGTGGTTGAGAGTCTGCCTGCCAAGGCAGGGGACACAGGTTCGAGCCCTGGTCTGGGAGGATCCCACATGCCGTGGAGCAACTGGGCCCGTGAGCCACAACTACTGAGCCTGCACGTCTGGAGCCTGTGCTCCGCAACAAGAGAGGCTGCGATAGTGAGAGGCCTGTGCACCGCAACGAAGAGTGGCCCCTGCTCGCTGTAACTGGAGAAAGCCCTCGCACAGAAACAAAGACCCAACACAGCCAAAAATAAATAAATAAATAAATAAATTTATATATATATTAAAAAAAAAAGCCAGCTATGACTAGGCAAATTAAAGTATAAACACAGTTTGCAATTCTTTTTCATATCCTTCACATCAAAATGTAATTCTTGAGAACAAAGAGTGCCTTTTTTAAAGAATGAATTAAAGTTGTATATTTAACCATAGATTCTTGATAAATTCATTAATGGATTACATCTTGTAAAGTTCTAAGCAAAATTTTTAAATGTTTGGCATTAGTGTTTATTTTAGTAATTTTCTACATGGGAAATACAATAATACCACACTGTACAGAATACTGTATTATTGCATCATGGTGTATGTGTTGAGAGATAAACTCCTATTTGTAGTCTTAAAATAAACAAGCAACAGATGGGCATGGCAGAAACTGGGAACCTACAAAACTGTATGTGTTTTGATGTAGTTTCAAAATAGTTTAAGGAATTAGAGACCATACAGGCTAAAAAACCTAGGCTACAGATAAGCTTTTTAACTTCAATATTCTTTCTCCAAGGGTAGATTTTTTTTTTCAAAGTTCAAATAGAATTATTTTTACTTAATAAAAGCAAGGTTTATACTATCTCATTTGATGGGTAATAACTACAATAATGTGCAATTGGCCTAAGAAGTGATTGACTGATCAATGGAACCGAATACTAGGCCAGAAACATACTCTAGTAAAGATTTAGAAACATACTCTAGTTTCAAAATATTTTAGTATAATGATAAAGATTGAATCATTGATCAGCGGGGAAAAGAGGAGATTATTCAATAAACGTTAAGGGGAAAAAAAATCTAAAATTAGGCCCTGACCTTGTACCATTTGTCAAAATACAAATCCGTTTAGCTTGAATAAAAAGTTAAATGTAAAAACCCCCCCCATAAAACTATTAGAGAAAATACAGATGAACAGCTGATCGTGGCATGGCAAATGATTTTCTAAGCATAAAAGGAAGAATTAAAAAAAAAAAACCTAAGTTTAGTAAATAGAACTAAACATTTCTAAAACTAACAAACCATAAATAAAATGAAAAGACAGCCAAATGAAAGAAAATATCTTTAACAAATGCAACAAGGTGCTACCACCCTTGCTATATATATAAAAGGTCTCACAAATATATTTTTCTAAAAAACAACATTAATCACATTGAAAAAGGGGGAAAGAACATCAAGCCCATTCTATAATGGTTAAAAGCATATGAAAAAGATATCTGACCTCACTAATTGCTACAGAAAGCAAATTATGAGATCCCTTTGTAAACAACAGATTAAAAAATGAACTTTCATGATGGCAGGAATTGGGTGACAGGAGCACCCTTATACTCTGCTATTGGAAGCATGAATAGGGTCAACCGTCTTGGAAAGTAGTTTGGTAAAATAGATTAACTGATACTATTTGACATGGTAATTTATTTCCTAGGGAACTACTCTGAGAATACAATTAAAACAGCAAATGATTAACTATGAATATCTATACCATTATGTATAATGGCAAAAAAGTGGAAATGACCTAAATGTCCAACTAAAGAGAAAGGTTCCATACATTATTATGGCACGTCCTTATTACGAATATTAGTGATTAAAATATTCAATAACAAGAGGAAATAATCATAACACGTTGAACTAAAAAAGAATACAAAATTGACTATACAGCATGATTCTAATTTGTTTAAAAATGTATATCTACAAAAACAACAAAAAGATTGGAAAAGACATCAAAACATTAACAGTGGTTATGGTTGCTTTTTACTTTTTCTTTAGCATCTAAGCACCTATTAAGCTTACACACTTTTAAAAATTACTGGAAAAAAAAAAAAGGTTTGGCGATGGATATCTTTCAAGCCTCTAAAAAACTACTACCCTCCTGAACACTGCACAATAAATATCATTATAACTATGTTAAAACATATACCTAGGTATAAAGACCTTCTGAGAATATATAAAAATGGTAATAATTATCTTGAATGGTAAGAATATAAGTGAATTTACCCCCTTCCTTCTTCTAAACATTCAGTAAAGATATTACAAAAATTAAAATATTAAGATATTAAAATCACTTTCTATTTATTATTATTTTTTTATTTTTTGCGGTACGTGGGACTCTCACTGTTGTGGCCTCTCCCTTTGTGGAGCACAGGCACCGGATGCGCAGGCTCAGTGGCCATGGCTCACGGGCCCAGCTGCTCCGCGGCATGTGGGACCTTCCTGGACCGGGGTATGAACCCGTGTCCCCTGTGTCGGCAGGCGGACTCTCAACCACTGCGCCACCAGGGAAGCCCTAAAATCACTTTCTAGAACAAAATGAGAAAAATGAAATAAAACCCAAACTAAGCAATCTTAAAACACACTAAGTTCTTTCCTCTGATTAAATGATATACTTTAAAGTCAAATTCAATATGGCTTTCTGATCAATCCTAGGTTTGAAATACAAATTCCAAAATGTATTAATTATACCCATAAGGAACCCCCAGGTTTTAAAGCCAATGAAACACATTATGTAATAGACTATAGGAGTTCATGAAGTTCAGAGAAAATGATATTATGTATTATCTTGTTCTGAGAACTGTAAACCTCCATCTAGGGATGATACCTGGCTAATCTGGTAATAAGACTTGGTACATTGATGGGTCCACCGGATGGCCTGTCCCCCTTTCCCATCTCCTCTCATAGGATATGATAATAACCTATTACGATAGGTTATTAGGATAATAACTGTATATTTTAATGCAAAGTTTCTGGAGATGCTGTGCCTTGACTTTACTGATGATAATTTTAGTTTCTGGGGTAGGTTAATGGCATAATCCTATTTAATCAGGTATGATCTTATTGTAGCCCTTAAATCACACCATCTAGAAAGTTCAGGTTTAACCTGTTCCTCCCTGCTAAGTCAGAGTGATGGAAGGTCTCTTGATAGTAAGCTATGTAAGTACTTGCTATATAATTAACACAGTCTCTTATTTCTCAACACAATCAGGACAGAAAAATGCAGTGGAGTAGATGGATACCAACCTTCAACCCCACTTATGCACTTGACTCTGTCTCGGACTTCCACATTGTAGCCTTCAAAGGACATAAATACACCATCAGGGTGATAAGGGGCTCTCTGTGCATAGACTTTGGAATAGCTATGAGAGAATTCAAACCGATCATAGCCATCGTACTGAACCACCTTTCCGTAAACGTCAAAATATTTCTCTACCCAGGTAAATGGAAGAAAGACTTCATTCCCCTCTCGTCTCCCTTTAATTGTGTGTTCATCATTTATGAGACAGTCAATTTCTTCATATTTGAGCCCTAACACCTTGCTTCCCCCATTGCTATTGAAGCCTCCAACAACAGGGGGCGCTTTCTGCTGTTCCTGAGGGAATGCCTCCTCAGAGTGCTTGGCCATGTGGTTCACATAGTTGTTGCTCTCAGATGCTGCTGCTCTTTTTTCTAACGCATCCACTCTGAAGCCACTACTCGAGTGCCGTGGAAACTGGATCGCTCTGTCGCTGGAACACTTATTCCACAAAAGTACTGTGACCAAAGTGAAGAGTGCGCAGATGACAATCAAAGTCTTATAGTTGACCCGAGCTGCCAAGCAACGCATATTCAGACCATACCTATGGAGGCAAGAAGAAAAATTCACACGAAGATGTACTTACTGACATTTCATAGGATAAGATTTACTTTTAAGGTACTGAACCACCACATTAGGGCAATTTTATTAACTGCATGTAATCTGATCAGATTTAAAATTACTAACTCAAACTTTTCAGCAGAGACAAAGAAAAGGCAAGAGTTGCTTCCCCCCTCTTAAAATGCTCAGTTAGCATGATCCTCTAAAGCAAAGATTCCCAATCTTTCTCTGTTTGTGGCTCCCTTGGATTCTTAATAATTCTTTCATGAAGCCCCTAGGTCAAAAAAAAAAAACCTGTTGGGCTTCCCTAGTGGCGCAGTGGTTGAGAGTCCGCCTGCCGATGCGGGGGACACAAGTTCGTGCCCCGGTCCAGGAAGATACCACATGCCGCGGAACGGCTGGGCCCGTGGGCCATGGCCGCTGAGCCTGCGCGTCCGGAGCCTGTGCTCCGCAACGGGAGAGGCCGCAACAGTGACAGGCCCGCGTACCGCAAACAAACAAACAAACAAACAAAAAATACCCTATTACTTCCATTTGTGAAGTAGTTGGGCTCAAACAACTTAATACATATTTTTGTCCTAACGACTGAGTAGCTGTTTGAAAAAAATATAACAGGTCATGTCAAGGTAAACACTGACATCCATGTTGCCAAATCCAACAATGAATTTTTAGTGCTCACCCTATGTTGCTTCTCAGCAGCATGAAATAGTAAACGACTCTTTCCTTCCTGAAACACTTTCTTCCCAGGACTCCCGGGGCACCATGTGTTCTTGGTTCTCCTTATACCCCAGCTGGGTGCTCCTCCTAGTCATCTCTGATCATTCCTTCTCATCTCTCTGAACCTGAATGTTGAAATGCCTTAGGGCCCCAGTCCTCAGACCTCTTCTTTATCTCTATTCACTCCCAGGTGATCTCACCCAATCTCATGGCTTTAAATACAATTTATATGTTGACTTTTCCCAAAATTCTATCTCCAGGCCAGACCTTTCTTCAGAACTGCAGGCACATATACCTATGTGCCAATCCAAGTATCAATAACTGACATCTTTATTTGAAGGTGAAATGGACTTCTAAAACATAACATTCAAAATTTAATCCCTAATCTTTCCCTTCAATATGCTCCTCCTTTACTGCTCAGACCAGAAATACTGACTCCTTTCTTGTTCACCCCATATCCAACCAGTCAGGAAATCCTGCTGTCCCTACCTTCAAATTATACCCAGAATCTAATCACTTTTCACCAACTACACAAGTTACCAACACATCAGAGCCACTGCCATATTTCACTTGGAATACTACAGTGATGTCTAACCTGCTCTCCCTGCTTTTACCCTTGCTCTACTATTCTACCCCAAAGTCTATTCTCAACATAGCAGTCAGAATGATGCTTTTAAATATAAGCCAGATCCTGTCTTTCCAGTCATCATGGGAGAATTTGATGCTGTTGCCCCTACTGGCCATGTGGTGTACCAACCAGTTGTGATTGTACTGTAGGTAGTCCTGGAATGCCTGTTGCTGGGGTCACTGGGAAACATGGAAAATTATGGGTTAGTTACATGTGCAACATATGGAATATCTCTGCCCACTGAGAGTAAAGAGGGTAGGCTTACTGCTGTTTGCTACAGTAGCTCTGTAATTTATTTTATGGTGTAAATCCAAAACTACTTATTTTATGGTTGTAATCCTTCTTCCCCCTTTTCCTCTCAATAAACCCTTCTGGCAGCAATGAGATTAAAAAAAATCAAACCGCAAAATGAAAACGTTTAATGAAAAATTACACAATGATTTTCTGTTTTTCAAGAAAGCTGATGGTGTTTTTCAATTAAAAGCTCATTTCTTTTAATTCCAAGAGGAGGTAAACCCTAAGCCCTTGCATGTCTGAAAGCAACTTTATTCTGCTCTCACCTTTGATTAATAGTTTGGCAGGATATAGAATCCTTGGGCTGCGTATTCTTTTCTTTCTAAATGCTGTAGGCAATGTTTTACTTTCTTAAAGCATTACGGGCTACTGATGAGAGGTTTGACTTCAGTCTGATACTTGCCATTTTGTACATGACTTCCCTCTGAGTCTTGTGTTTACCCTAGGAATTCTGCAGTTTTGTGAGAATGTGTTAACAGTATGATATTTGATTCACTATTTCAGCACTTGGTGTGCCCTTTCAACCTGAAACCTTGTGTTCTCTTATTCTTGTTTAATGGATGTAGTATCTTCTTGCGGCTCTGAGTATGTTAGGGTTCTGTTTTTGTAAAGTTCTCTCTGATTATCTCTGTTTTCTTTGGTGGTCATTTTTCTGGTTATTTTAGTCTCTTTCATGGTGTTAGCTTTCCTCATACGCCTGTGATCTCTGTTTACTCACTCATCTTTAGGCTTGAATGACTCATTAGCTAACACAGATTTCCTCTGTTATTGTGAAGATGGTCTGCTTTTGGGCTAGATTGTTCTCCTGAGAGGGGCTCTGTGTGGGTTGGGTACAGGCGGAGTGACAGTGTTCCTTTAGGGTGTGTGGGTGGGTAGCCAGCAGGCCCTCTAAATACCAGAATGAAGATGACTTTTTCTTTTGTCCTGGGGACATAACTCGTACTCTAGAAGCCTTAGCTTTTCCCAATTTCTCTAAAGAAAATCTGCTGGTGTTTTGGCTGGGGTTCACGCCAGCTATCTATAGTTCAAGTGCAGGGGTGAGAGAGATAAGGGGAAGGAAGGAGAGGGTACAGCTGTGCCTTCTAGTACTGGAACAGAGATCCGGAAATCTGTTTAATTATCACCCTATGGTAATCTTCCTATTTACTGTTATTGGCTTCTTCATTTCTTATTTCTATATATTTTATTTCAGTGGGGCATCAGGAGGGAAGGGAGGCAAAGATATGGGTCTGGTACAACTTGGAAATCATACACAGATTGTAAGAGCTGGAATCCAATAATACATTTCATCACCTGCATTATTACTATGAGAAAATGTGTTGGACGCTAAAAAAAGAAGTGTGGTACAAGCAAACCTTCAGAAGTCACAGTTATAAATTGAGGATTTCCTTATATAGTAGCATGGGCAAACGGATAATACTACGTGATGTTCTTTGTTTTAATTTCATTTATTTATTTTTATTTTTGACTGCGTTGGGTCTTTGCTGCTGCGCGCAGGCTTTTCTCTAGTTGTGGTGAGCAGAGGCTACTCTTCATTGTGGTGCACGGGCTTCTTATTGGGTGGCTTCTCTTGTTGCAGAGCATGGGCTCTAGGCACGCAGGCTTCAGTAGTTGTGGTGCTTGGGCTCAGTAGTTGTGGCTCGCGGGCTCTAGAGCGTAGGCTCAGTAGTTGTGGCGCACGGGCTTAGTTGCTCCGTGGCATGTGGGATCTTCCCGGACCAGGGCTCGAACCCGTGTCCCCTGCATTGGCAGGTGGATTCTTAACCACTGAGCCACCAAGGAAGCCCCTAAGTGAGGTTCAAACAAACAAACAAAAAAAGCCCTCCATTAAAAACATTTATGTGCCAACATTTGAATCATCCGTCAGCTATACTAACATTTAGATCAGTTAAAACAGAAATATAAAGCTTTTGTCCCACCTTTGAGACGTGCCCTTCCTCCATGACCCAAAAGAGAGTAAACCTGCTATGGAACTAGTAGGCTACCATTATGATGAGGCATGTGATGGGAAAATAAAGAAAAGTCAAAATTAAAAACTTTCAATAACCTTTATGTCCAGATTTTGTATCTGATACCATTCCTTACTAAAAGCAATTCAGGATAAAAAAAATTATAAAAGCAATCAGGGCTTCTTAGAGACATCAATCTGAAAGGTCCCTTTCCCGATTAAGTCAAAGCTGTGAGAATTATGACTGACGTTGACTGAAACACACTAAATCAATAAAGATCCATGAGTCTATAATGATATTCAAAACAGGAGATAGCCAGAAAAAATACTTAAATCATCTTCTGACGAAAACTGGTAACTAAATGAAAGAAGTTATTTATCTATCTTTGCACGAGAACACACCAATAGCCCCAGATGACAAAGAATTCTATTTTACAGAAAAAGGGTGGCTAATAATGTAGAAGAAAAAAATTAAAATCAGAAAATTAGTATTATGCAATTCCTCATGAAATTACTAATTTAGCCAAGTGTTATATTCAGGCATATGTTTGACAGGGATTTAGTGATTCATACTGTGCAAAGTAACACCAAATACATTGTTTCCTAGTCACAAGGAGAAAAAGGTGAAACTCTACAATGAAAGGATCAGTCAGCACCTTAATTCAGTGGTCAAATTCAGTCTCATTAATGATGACTCATGCAGATGTTCTGTCTCTTGATGAGTTAAAATAAAAAGTACATAACCTATTGTATATCCCAGCCAAAAATGTTTAACTTGGATCTCTCTGACCCTACGATTTAATTTCTAGTTAACAGGAAATACAAGGGAAAGAGGAACAAGTTAAGTGCAGATGCAACCAGTACATCAAGAAGGTGAGACATCCTGCAGGAGAGCTGGCCCCATCTCCTCAATAAATTAGTGGTATGAAACGAAAAAGGAGACTGGGTTAGACTTTTTGAAAAGAGACTTAAGAAATATAACAACCAGATGTGAGACTTGGTCCTAAGCTGGGAAATCTGACTATGGGCTTGGTAAGAAGGAAAGATGGAAGGACATATGGAGGTTGTTAACTGAAAAAAAGGAGGTTACAGAACAGCACATATAGTATGATTTTCTAATTTTCCATGAATATGTTTAACGTGTTTTTAAACCATAAAAAAAGAAAATTAAGAAGGTCAAAGTCACTTGTTAAAATATTTAAAGAAAGAATTATAAATTTTTAGTTAAAATTCTTAGTTTTCAAAATAGGCACTGACATTTTTTGGAGGGGAGGATAGAAAGAAAGAAAACTCTGAGTATTGACGTGCAGTACTAACTACCAAACAGGCTTATCTAAAGGTAAGTACAATAATTTTATTATGTTTCTCATATTATAGAAAATTGACTATAGAAACT